GCTCCTGAAGAGGGGCTTGCAGCCCTTTCTCTCCCCACCTCCCAGTACATTTTGGTGCTGAGCTAAGCCAAGGTTTGGCTTAGTGTGCCATCCAGACCCGGTGATTAAGGTCTCCGCTCAGTATTCACCAGCTCTAACCAAGAACAAACGTTTGCTTAGCAGTTCTGTGCAGTTCTGCAGCAAAAAGGATCAGGGAGGAGCCAAGTACGTGCCAGTTTCATCTCCAGGAGCCTGTGTGGTCCCTTATCTTGGCATAGCATGACATGCAAACCAGGCCATGATGATTAAGGCTGTGTACACACCATACATTTAAATCACATTCCCTACACACACACCCAAAGAAGAATAATGGGAACTGTAGTTTGTTAAGGGTGCTGGCAAAACTGTAGCGCTGAGGGCTAAACTACAATTCCCAGGATTGTAGGGGTGTGTGTGGAGCAGATGTGCTTTAAACATGTTGTGTGTACACAGCCTACGATAAGAGGGTGCATGCTTTAGACAGCATCCAAAGGAAACCTGCCAATTCAGGAAGAGATAGCAGATGGGTTTTAAAAGGGGGGGGGAATCTGCTATTGAGCCATTATGTCACATCATGCAGGGACTCACAAGTCAACAGTTATCTATCTATATGTAGGTGTGACTCTAAATCTAAAACATCAGATTTACAGAAGGCTGTGCTTCGCTTTCCTTCAGCTACCCAACACCCAAAGCCAACCTTGGGTATTGTCTATGGATTTCTGTTAGAGCAATAAAAAATAACAGCAGAGTCCCCAACTGTTTGCCTTCATTTAAATTGTTTCTAAACAGCTTTTAATCTGTGGGTGTTTTTTTCCATTTCGGAGTTTTGCTGTTTTTTTAATAAAGGGGCGTAATATGTACCTGGGAAAAGAGGAGCTGGAGAGACCAGGGGGCCCCAATCACAGTGGTTCAGGGTAGGGGGAGGTATGGCATAGGAGATGGGAAAGGCCAGGTAAAGGACACACAGCACAGGCAGTTAGTGACTGTGCCAGCCCTTCCTCTGACCTGGGGAACTGCAGTTGTCCTCAGGTCTGCGGCTGCTGTTGCTAAATGCCAGGTCAGCTCTGAGCAAGACCACCCTCACCCACGATCCGATTATGGATGAGGAGGTCTGTATCACTGAGACCTGGGTGGGTGAACAGGGTGGGGTTGGTCTCACCCAGCTATGGCCACCTGGGTACTTGGTGGAGCAACAGAGAAGACCTGAGAGTTGGGGAGGGGGAGTTGCTGTGGTCTACAGAATTTCTCTTTCTCTCTCCAGGCTCTCTGTTCAGTTGTGTGGGAGGGAATAGAGTGTGTCTTCCTGGCATCGGGCCATCAGGACATATATTGGATTCTGTTGCTTTGTCGTCAGCCTTGCTGCCCAGCTATCTCCCTGCCTGAGCTGACAGAGCTGGTCTCAGAGTTGGTGTTGAGGACTCCCAGACTGTTGGGACATCCATGCCGAGGCAACTGTCTCTGGGGTAGCTCAGGACTTCATGGGTGCCTTGACCACCATGTGGCTGTCCCAACATGTTACCGGCCCAATGTTACTGGCAGGCCTCATCCTGGACCTTCTTTTCTCAAGTGGGGGGATATTGACATCAGCCCCTTGTCATGGTCAGATCACTTCCTGCTGGTGTTTAGGCTTTCAGCGCCTTTTCCCCTCTGCAGAGGGGCAGGGGGCCTATGAGGATGGTCTATCCTTTGAGGCTAATGGATCCAATGGGTTTACAGAAGGCTCTGGGGAGTTCTCCAGCTGATCTATCTGATGCTCCTGTCAAAGCCCTGGCCAACTTCTGGAACATCCAAATGGCTCAAGCTATTGACATGATCGCTCCTGAATGCCCTCTTCTGCTTTATGGAGCACTCTTGGCATATTAAACTGATCCTGACCCAACTGCACTAGCTGCCAATTAGTTTCTGGGCCCAATTCAAAGTGCTGGTTTGTCCTATGAAGCCTTAATGGGTCAAGACCACAATATATCAAGGACTGACCTGGACTCTGTGTTCATCAGCTGAGGCCCTTCTTTGTGTGCCTCACCCCTGGAGAGGACCAGAGGGTGGTAACACAAGAACTAGCCTTTTCTGCAGGGGCTCCCCCTTTTGTGGAATGCTCTCCCCAGGGAGGCTTGCCTGGCACCTTCACTACAAAACATTTCTCTATAATCAGGCCTTTGGCTGATTAACATTCCATGTCCCTTAAAATGTGTTTTTCGGAGGGTGGGTATGGGTTTGGTTTCATTTTTATTATGTATTTTGTGTTTTCATTTTGTATTTCTATGCTGTATTTCTATGCTGTAAACTGCCCTGAGACCTTCAGATGCAGATACAAATTTAAGAAACAAACACACAAATGGTTGCTGCGAAACTTCCTGACCTCAAGAACAACAACAAAGCAATGTAAAATCTGATCTCCAGGTCTGTATCCAGCTTCAAGCAAAAGACAGATCTTTCTTTACACGGAAGTATTTGCAGGCCCAGGAGCAGTAAGCCTGCAAATGCCTGAGCAAAACCGGGGCAGAGTAATAAAAACACAACAAGCCAGTTCTTAGGATTAAATAGGTCACAACTTTATTCTTTACTGATGTAATATTGTCTTGGAGTAGACACTGGGTCCACATCCTGTATCAACCAGCCCAATCTGCTGGCTCATCATTCCAACAGGACCGATCCTAGGTTTGATAGGCCCAATAAAATGTAATTGGCCTACTGTGGTTTTCTGGCATTTCTCTACCTTTGCCTTGAAGAAACAATTTGTTCAAACTCACTGGAAAAGCAACAAGGTATATAGTTCTCCTTTCAAATAACAATAAGAACTTCCTATCATTCTATAGAAAGCCAACCAAGCCAAGGAAGGAATCCAAACAAAACAAGACAGAATACAATCCAATTTATTGCTAACTTCCTTACATTACAAGGCCCAGACCTCACAGTCAATATATACTAGGTACAAGAATGCTCCTATCCTCATTTTCCAAGATCTCCCTTTTTCATCCATCAACCCACAGCTGCCAACTGCCTAACTGAATCTTCCACCTTCACGCCAATGGCTCAACTGCTCTCAGAATCTCACTGTCCAATCTAATCTCAGAAAAATAATAATCCAATCACATCTGAGTACATGACCCGAAAGACACAGCAACTCTTTTCATGTGAAATTTACCTAAAAACATTTCCATCATTTACAGGAGCCTTTGATTTCATAGAATCATAGAATTGTAGATTTGGAAGGGACCCCAAGGATCATCTAGTCCAACCCCCTGCAATGCAGGAATTCCTAGATGTAAACATAATGCTTAAATACTGTGTGGAGTTCTATACAATTATCATTGCAACACTGCTCCATGAGGCATTTACTAGGTGTCAGGAATGTGGTTAACATCTGCAGAGCTACTGTTGTGCAAATATTTGTCTCATGCTGCATATACAGAATAACTCTTAGTCTGCTCACGTCCATTAATATTTTGGGTCTACCAATTAATCCTGATTCAATAAAGAGAGAATCAGTTTGAGTAAATCATGATTAACATTGAACTACCGAGTCAACAGGAAGAAGCCTTCAAGAGCAATTGACAAGGCTAGGAACCTTTTTAGACCTATGCGTTGAGGAATCCAGTATCACTAAGGCATCTATAATTAACATTTCATGTTATAAGTAGCACTTCTAATTCAGCACATGCCATTCATCACTCTTTGTTGACACACGGAACCATTAAGGTAAATGAAGGTTTCGCCAAATGCATTATTTATTGCTGAGCTCTAAAACTGAAGGCAGGTGTACAAGACTTGGAAATGGCAAGTGAACATCTTACTACATGCCGATTGCTGGCTTAACCTCTACACTGCAGACCACAATCAAAGATAAATATATGAAGGTTATGTTGCTCAATGACAAATTATATTTGGCATTACATACAAAATTATTACATCACATGCTATCAACTCCAACTTTTTAGTTCAAATACTTTCTTATATGCTACACAGGATTCAGAACGTCAGTTTAGCTGGTCTGATTGGTAAAGTACATTTGGTTCTCTAAGCTGTATGTCAACCTGAACGTGATGGGAAACTTGTCACCTGCATGATTTAGAGATTAAATAGCAGGTGCATGTGGGTGAGCCAATCAGGGCCAGAGTTGCAGTGGAGCTGTTAACTCTTTCCTCCCATGCCACAGTCCCAACACAATATGCCCCCCTGAAGCTGCTATAGTTAGAATAGGATGGGAACTCCCATTGGAGAATGAATTAGTGTTCTGTATATTGATTACAACATTGGCAAACGTGTTGATAAGAGTGTTTGCGCCAAGCTAACACAAAAGAGGGTAGAGAGGACCAACAGCCGGTATTATTTTATTTCTTACCGTATGTGTATGCTACCTATGAATGACCTGCAGCCTTCCTGATTTTCCTCAGCTAAAGTTGCCTCTGGTTTCAGAGCTCAGTTGGAGGGAGGAAAAGATTAAAAATAACATAAGGGGCATTTGCAGGGGAGGAATTAAGCCTTATTAAAAAAAACAGAGTTAAGAATCAGGGCCAAATTAGATGGAATTCTGGCAGCAGGCCCACCCAAATCATGTATGAAGCAGGGAGGATGTGAGGCAAAAGTTAATGAGCAGAAAGGGTGCTGAACGCACTCCCTGCCTTGCCTCTCCCCATGAGCTTTCCCCCCAACCAAGCTCTGGAAACAGAATTAAACCTAATTTCAGCACTCAACCCACACTGGAAGACTCTCAGTGGGGAATGGAACCATAACTTCTGTTTGTAGCAAATGATAAAGACATTTGCTGGAGGGTCACAGGTTTCCCATGCTTGGACAACAGAGATGTCATACTACCAGTATGAAAGTCTCATATCAAAAAAGGTGCAGGAAACAAAAAACACTAAAGTTTTCGCCAACTGCTTCACCCAGAATACCATCATAAAATATACTTAGGATCAGGACTGGAACTCCTCCTTGCTAGCACAATACTTTTAGGAACAAAAGGGAGTGATTGAACTCACCAGAACTGAATGTAGACAATAAACTTCGAGGTACATTTTGTCCTGAAGGTCCTGCAAAAGACAAAAACGTAACTTGAACTGTCATACTCTTTTTAAAAAGGAAATAAAATGCACACACTAGCCTTATGGATCAAGCTACTCCTCAAAGGCAACATACCCAAACGTAGCCCAATGGCTCATTCTATAAAACCAATACCAAACAAAAAACACAGAAAATGCTACTTCAGAAGGTGGGTTAGTTGGAGGGACACTTGCCCCTCTCAGGACTGTACTCCAAATTATTTCGTTCTCCCGAGCCACTCGGGATTTCATGTGCATGTTTGGAGGGAACCCATGCATGTGAAATTTGTAGGGTTGAGGCAAATAACTAACGGCTGGAGTTACAGGCAGGTAACTATTGCCCGCACTACTCAAAGTAGTTTCTCCAGCTAGGAAGGAGCTGCCAGGCAACTGTTACATGTGCTTGTATGAAGCATATATATTTGGGCTTAAGTGGATTATCTTTAAACTCTTCAGGCTCCCTTTAAAGTACTTGGTCATACAGTGAGTGGATTTAAGAAGCAGGGATATGCTAAATCTTCCCAATTATACATTTTGCCTTGCTGAGAAGTGACATGGTATGTTATCGGCAAATGTGAATATGCAATTATCACTAGGAGGACAGGCTTTTCCAAACTGTAATACTGCATACAAAAACAACCACCGCCACTATTCTGAGACTAGGTAACAAAATTAGGTTAATATATGCATGGTTTCTCATGCTGCTATGCATCATTCTGAACTTCCTTTTAAAAAACCCTTCCCCGTTCTGCACAATTAACTTGAATGAAAGTCAGAACTGTTTTTGCAGGTTTGTAATAGATGTTTGGAAACCTATTACTTTCTCCACAACATTTATCTACAAATTTAGTTCCCTAGGTGGAACAAATAGCAAAACGGATACTGCCATCATAGAATACAACAATTCTTACATGCACCAATAAGCATTTCCACTCAGTGGAATAAGCATAAACTTACGCTTTAAAGTAAATGGGGGAAAACACACAGGTACACTTGCCTTAGTCAACACCAGTGCTTAGATGCCCAGGGTTGAGCAAAATCTGCAAAATCCAAGACAAGTCATGTTTCCTAACACAGGTCTGATTGTATATTGTATAAGCACCATGCCAGTTAATTCATCCATGAGCCATTTGGATAGAAATGATGTTGGAGATAACACAGATGAACCTATAACCTTAACTAATAACACCACGCAAACAAAAATGGGACTAATACTTTACCCAGCTGCTGATTCCCTCTTGCATCTCTGGTTTTCCTTCCTGGAAGAAGTGCCCCAGAAGATTTTGGCAGACATTGGCTCACTGAGCTCAACTTGCTTTTCACTCCTTTAAAAAAAAGGGAAAAGACACCCCCACAAATAAATTAGGCGTTGCTATAATGAAAGTATCCAATGCACCTGTAAACTTTATATGAACCACCTGACACCTTAGAAAGCCGCTCATCAGTGTAGACAATGCCGAGCTCGATGGATCAATGATTTGACTCAGTATAAGGCAACTACCTGTGCTCCTAATGATATAAAAAATATAAAAAACTGCTGCCACACCATGTCAACCCCCTCCTCCCCATAAGTCCTAGAAGGACATAATGCATGTTGTGTAGCACTGAGTTGGAGATGGGACAATGCCCAACATGGTGTCAATCTCATCATGCTTTCTATTCAACTAGAAATTACAAAGGGTAACGGGGGTAAGTACACAGAGTGGCAACACCAGTTCCATTTCTCATGATGCCTAGAAAGATTGGACAGTACTTCTCTCTCCACCCAACTTTTACATGCAGCAAGTTCAGAAGAGCATGTTGGGTTTGCATGCTTATTCTCCCCCACCATACACACACTATAAAGAGAGGGTATCATCCAAACAGCCCTAAGACTTTTCTCTCTCCCACACAAGACTGCAACTAATTGTACTTTTAATTTATCAGCAGAAGGGACTACATTCTGCTAGGTTCCAGATCACACCTGGAACTAATCAAGGTTCTGTGACAATGCTGCCGGCAATTGATCAGGTGTTTTCCAGGTAGATCAAGAACATTCCATATGATTTATTGGGGGGGGGATCCTTATTCAGGATTCTGATTATTTCTTCTGCCTACAGAGATTTTTGATAGATGTGGTCAATCCTTGTCCAGGTTACCATAATGGTCTTTGCCTGAACTGGAAAGAACACTGCTTTCCAGCTTAGAAAAATCATTATGAAGACATTAGGCTGTCCCCCCCCCCAGTCATTTAAGGCTAAGAAATGCAGCTGCAATAGTTTCAGGGTTCTCTTCCCCCACCCACAAATATTACCACCTATTTTAATCTTGTGCTGGAAGAGATCACATGGCAGTCATTTAATTATCCCCTGACCTTTTCCCTTCCACTGATTTCAGCTGCCTAGCGTGACCTGTAAGAATTCTTGGCTGGGACTATGCACTTCTATGGTTTGTACAGAAACTAGCACACTGCTGGTATTTAAACAAGCAGACGTACTCCTCAGCTACAGTTAGACAATCATCCATCAACGTTCCAGCATGTGCTTCATTGCTGGTGATTTGGTAGCTTCCTCATCTCATATTGCTTACTGAAGGAAAACATACGTCTGGTTTTTAAAATTAAAATATCCCACCTTTTCTATTTTTAAGCTTGCAAGAGTAATAAATCTCAGAACTAATACGTAGGGCTTGTCATGTAAGGCACTGGTCTCCTGCTGCCCTTCCATTTCTCCTGAGCAAGGCTAGCATGGATTTGCCACTAAAGCCTTCAGAGCCATAATATATATATTTTAAACTATCTGGCAGGGAGATGGGAGATCCCGGTGACAATTTACACCTGAGATAACCATCTGATCCCAGAGGGACGCCAAACCTCTACCTGTCAAAATGTCTGGGTTCTGCTTCACTGGAGACTGCCTGACCAACAATGCGTCTTTGTCCCCTTCCTAATGTAGGGGTCCAGGAAATATATTGGTAAGACTAGATGAGCCTTGTGGTCCCTTACAACTCTACAATTCTACGTTTCTCAATCACTGACCACTGTAGAGCCTGCAACCACACTCCTAAGTAGACTGAGAACACTTATGCTATCATCAAACCAATAGCTTGGGATCAGTCAAATTTTTAGCCACAGAGATCTGATTGTTTTCCAGTATTCTGTTTTGACCCTTTGTGTCCTTCCCTTCCTCCCATTTTATATAAAACTGCATAGTTTTGATTTCTGGGTTTGATGTGTATGGTGGCCAAGCTTAGTAATTCTTGTAAATTCCCACATGCCAAGATCATTTTGGTCCATGCTACTGCAGCTTAGGATCAGGGTTGTTAAAGATCAGATGTTCTCTGGGAGAGGCAAGGGGCTGTGGGCTCTATTTACACTCTCAGCAAATTTTAAGGGAACAGGCCGGCCAATGCAGGGCACATTATTCCAAAGGCCTGGGATCTAAGATTTAATTGAGCCCCACCACCCCTGCCAGATTTATTCCTGTCTGGGGGGGGGGGGGACAAAGGCTGGGATGAAGTGGCAGCAAGGACATGGGGGCTGCTTGAATAAAAGTGAAGTCAGCAAGCTTAAGAGATGAGATACCTTTTGGGGTGCTTTTCAGGGAAAGCACTCTCGGCCTAGGAATGGGCTTTAGAAAGATGGATTCAGCTGTGCCATTCTGACAAGACGACTTCGAAGGCCACTCTCCATTTCTGATTATAATTGTGGCACTTGTAGCTATAAAGGAAAAATACAAGCCATAAAGAAGTTCAGTTTAAGTACCACATACCAATTAAAAACATGCCAAATGTTCAACACTTGAAACTCTTTTTGCTCTTATGATGCAGCAGCAAACACAACAAGACTTGTGGCAGCTTGAAGACTAACAAATTTATTATGGAATACACTTTCAGATGTATCAAGTATTATCCTCTGTTGTTAGAAATATATCTGTACATGGAGAGTCAACAGGCATCAGGTGCCACAAAGTTTGAAAGTGGAACCCCATCTATCATTGCTGATGGGCTGCTCATACCTAGACCTAGGGACCAAAAGAAACAACTACAAAACCGTTGTGTAAATAATTACAATGTAACAGGCATGTGCTCCATTTGTGTACATAGATTTAGTCAATCCACCAGTCTCCAACACACAAACACTTACTTGTAGGGAAGCATCCCTCATACAAAGATGCATATCTGGTTTAACAATGCCATAGTGTATTTTCTAACTTTGGGTGGCTATTGTAAGAGGACTGAGACAAGCTACCACATTTTCATTACATACACTCCCGAAAGGAGTTCCAAAATTATTCTTCCTACAGATCTATTTCCCCCCCCTCTATATTGTTGTTCCTTTATAATTTCCCTGTTATGCTACACAATGGGCCTGCTTCCCTGGATTGTTCATTTATTTGGCACTATAGTTGTATCATTACATTATTCTTACCACTATTATTATTAACTTATATAGCCACTTTCTTAATCTCAGAAACTGCCCAATATTTAGTCTATCCCTTCTGCATCCTTATTCATACCACTCTCCATATAACGTCCTCATGAAACAAGGCAGAGTTTTTACAAAGTTTTTCCTGTTGGGAAATTCCTATTTTTCAACAAAGCGAGCCACTGTCTGTGCTCTGAGCACCGCTAAGGAGTGGAGAAGAAGAAGCCGGAGGAAACACACCCACTCCAGATGTCTACCACTAGTCATTTCAGGAAGAAAAACTTTTGATTTTTGCTTCATATGAAAATAGCACTCGCTTTCCAAGATGCTTCTTCACTCCTCTCTAACATACTGCCAAAAAGTATCTCCCACTGGGGCTCTGCTTGCAAATAGCAAAGCCAATTGCATGCTGCCCATTAACCAAAAATGAAGGATTAAAAAAATCCTGGAACTATACTGCTTGCAGCACATACCTGCTGTATATGGCACATGATCACAAGGAAATAAAACATGTATGTATCTTACAAAATGCGCCCTAGCCTGCAAAAAGTGTCTGCCACAATAAAGGCATGTGTACATACAACATTCCTGATCTCTTAAGTCATGGGAGATCACAACCCTTTCCTTCTCCTGTGCATAACTTCAGCCTGCTCGCGTTCCTTCTGACTGGATCATGATTTACACCAGTATCGAAACCCTACTTGATAGGGTTGGCAGGAGATGTGCAGCCACATTTGCAGAGGCAGCCAAATCCCAGTCCCTTACTGCAGGTATTTGACAACTACAGCAATCCAGTTATGTTGAGGACTTCTACATTGTTCATTCTTTAGTCCGAAACTCTATTTAAAAGCCTGCTCACTTTATTTTAAGATCGTGCCCTTATTTTGCACCAACGCAATTTACCTTGGTGGAAAGGGAAAGCAACACCAAGAAAAGGGAAAGGGAATTTTGTTCTGCTGGATTTAGGAAGAAAAAACAACAACCGTCAAGCAGACAGCCATGAAAGCCTCCATATGGATACTCAGACACCACATGCTTGAAACACAAAAACAGCACCTGTAAAGAAGGAAGCGTCAGTGTACTGTCTGGACTTCTTTTTCTCTATGATCACAGTAAGATCCTAGCACGATGCTCCTATTGTTCACTGTGACTGTTGTATGTTTAATGTTTCAGTGTTTTTTAACACAAGGATGGACATTATACAGAATGTGGGACCATAATGGACACTGCTCATTTGGGCAGCATACGGGATTTTGGTGAAAATCATTTGACAATAATTCTTAAAGAAGTCATGAAAGCGCTGACATGCAACTTTCCATAGCTAAGAGCCACTCATTTCCGAAGAATCTGGTAGATTAAAAAAAAAAATCACATACTTCTAATCAGTGCTTTTTTCTTTAAAAAATAAATAAATGTTTAGAGATACTCTCATTTTCCTACTCATATTGAAATACTGCCCCTCAATGAGGCCAAACTTAGATTCACAAAATGTTTAGGGGTATGCGTCCCCCTGAGTCCGCCCCCCCCCCAGAAAAAGCACTGCTCTTTTGGCATTTTGACATCCACTATGTTCATTTTGAACGAACTAAGAGATACTTCACAAATTACAGAATAGAATTGGTCCCCAAGTTTCCACAACTGGCCAGGCATATCTATGCTATAATTTCTGAAAGACATTCACATTTCAAGTAGTGCATATCAACCACTCAACTAGTCCAGACCCCAGGGTCATGTTTACAGTGATGTGTAAAACCCCTTTGAATGTTACAGAAAACATATGGTCAGACAATAACACAAACATCTATTAAATGAAGCAGAAAGTGGCTCTAGTACAGTGGTGCCCCGCAAGACGAATGCCTCGCAAGACGAAAAACCTGCTAGACGAAAGGGTTTTCCGTTTTTGAGTTGCTTCACAATACGAATTTCCCTATGGGCTTGCTTCGCAAGACGAAAACGTCTTGCGAGTCTTGCAATTTTTTTTCGCTCCCCCCCCCTTTTTCTAAGCCGCTAAGCCGCTAATAGCCTTTTAGCCGCTAAGCCGCTAAGCCTTTAATAGCCGCTAAGCCGCTAATAGGGTTGCTTCACAAGATGAAAAAACCGCTAGACGAAGAGACTCGCGGAACGGATTATTTTCGTCTTGCGAGGCACCACTGTATTTAAATTATTTACAGTCCTCCAAACACTCTTTCTTTGTTGTGGCACTTGGTGATAAATACAGGGGTCAGCAAACTTTTTCAGCGGGGGCCTGTCCACTGTCCCTCAGACCTTGGGGGGGGGGCGGACGGACTATATTTTGAAAAAAAATATGAATGAATTCCTATAACCCAGAGATTCATTTTACATAAACGCATACATTCTACTCATGTAAAAACACCAGGCAGGCCCCACAAATAACCCAGAAATGCATTTTACATAAATGGACACATTCTACTCATGTAAAAACACGCTGATTCCCGGACCGTCCGCGGGCCGGATTTAGAAGGTGATTGGGCTGGATCCGGCCCCCGGGCCTTAGTTTGCCTACCCATGGTTGTGTTGCTGCAAAAACATTTAGGCTATTCTATCATTACACTTTGTTAAGTTAGCTTCGGTTGTTGAATTTATATTTTGCTTCCCACCTAAAGTGATTTACAGCCAAGAAAAAAACCCTACAATAAATAAAAATCACAGAAGCTTGGTTTTGTTTTGTTTTAAAAAAAGCTTTAACTGTATAACTATATAATTGGTGCTGCCCAAATGCCTGGGAAAACAAAACACCTTTGCTTGGCACCCAAATGATGACAAGTCTGGCATCAGATAGATCTCCTAAGGAGAGCATTTCAAAAATGGAGAGAGTGCCACAGAAAATGCACTTTCTTTCATTTCTACCCTCCTGACCTCCTTCAGAGAGGGCACATAGAGATGGGACTCTAACGTTCTCGTGGTATTGATAGATACATATGGAGAAAGACAGCATGGCACTTGGTTTCTTTAAGATGGCACAGTTCCAACATTTTTAAAAAAACAAAACCAAAATATAACACTTTTTAAAAACACCACCCTGCACAGCTGACTTAAAACCATATTACAAACGTGTTTACTCAGATTAGATGAGTACAACAGTCTAGTCAAGCAGAACACAAGTCTGCCAAATAAGGCAACGGGCTTTCTCAACTTACTCTCCTTCCCATGGCCCTAACTCACAAAACCTTCAATGCATGTCAATGGTTTTTTTGTGGGGGTTTTTTTTAAGAAGGCCCATTTAATTACATTTAGAATACGTGTTTGCTAGCAACGCAGATCTGATGTTTCAAGTCTGCAAGACTTGCTGCATGTCAGAACTCATCATGATGAAAGAGTGGTCTACTGACCTAGTTTAGTGATAGCAATGCACTGGGTCTTTGCAAGGAATCTTGTTACCGTAACAGTGTTTAAAGATACTGTTCAAAGGGAATTAGCACAGTGTAATATAAACTAATATGCCTGAATGAAATGTGCAATCAAATCATTTTCAAATGTCCTCAGTAGTGATTTAGCTTATGCCAGGATGGTAATAACCAATTAATAGCATGCAGGCTTGCTGACTTAGCTTATTTTTCAGGAGTATATCATTTTCTGTACCTTCTCAGTGGCCAGGAAATATAGCAAGAAAAATGGGCCAGATTTTCATCTTCCACGTGTATCCTGCTATCCGAGATGGAGAGATCAGCCTGTTCAAGACAGAAGCTGGCTAAATGAACCCTACAAGCTGTTAATTTTCAGGCTTAACCTTTCCATACTGTTGCATCACTAAACGAATAAGAAAAATTATTCCAATACTTATGTGAGAAATTGACTACCTTAAGCTAAGGCCAAACTTGCTGAGTTGTTTGGAGGCAAAACCTGTACATGCCAGGCTTATCAGAATTTAAGATAATCCAGTAAAATAACAATTTTGCTGTGCAAATGCCAACATTCATTTTTGTAAGCATTCCAAGCCCAGTGGTCATTCTCAGTCTTGTTAATGAAGACATAGTTTACTCTATTTGTTGAGAACACAACTGTTCCACTGCAAGGAGGAAAACACACTTTATAAACTTGCCAACAGTTAATATAATCTAGCTTCAGCTGTCTATGCACAAGTAAGATCTAGGTTAGATTACTGCAATGCATTATATGTGGGGCTGCCTTTGAAGACAATTTGGAAGCTACAGCTAAGGCAAATTCAGAGAGTAGGTTAGTAACTGGGACCAGAAAATCTGAGCCTATGACACTACTTCTGGAACAGCTGTACTGGCTAACGGTTAAGTTTCCAGGCTCAATTCAAAATGCATCTTTGGACCTCAAAGACTACCTCTCCCCCACATGAACCAGCCCAGACCCTACAGCCTTCATCAAAGGCCCTTTTCTGTGTGCCACATCCAAGAGAGGTGCATAGGGTAGAGATGTGAGAACAAACTACTTCAGGAGTGGTTCCCAGTCTGTGGAATGCTCTCCATGTCTGGCACCATCACTGTCCATTTTGAGGCACCAGGCTAAGCCCAGTAGACCTGAAGGAGCGTCTCCACCCCCATTGTTCAGCCCGGACACTGAGGTCCAGCTCCGAGGGCCTTCTGGCAGTTCCCTCACTGCAAGGTTACAGAGAACCATGCAGAGGGCCTTCTTGGTAGTGGTGCCCACCCCGTGGAATGCCCTCCTACCAGATGTCAAGGAAATAAACAATTATCTGACTTTTAGAAGACATCTGAAGGCAGCCCTGTTTAGGGAAGTTTTTAATGTGATGTTTTATCGTGTTTTTAATATTCTATTGCCAGATAGGCGGGGTATAAATATTATTATTATTATCAACCCACACTCTGGGGGCATGTGGAGAGGGGGGAGGACTAGTCCTTACTGTATTCTTGGATGGTACATAGTTTAAATTTGGTTTTTAATTGATTTTATACATTTATATTTTATTTTGTTCATGTCATTTCAGCAGTCCCGTCCCCCCCCAAAAGCGGCTAATAATGAAAATAATAATGCTGTTCTGGTACAAGTTATGCAGGAGGCAGCCTTTTTCTTCCTTCCTCATCTCATTGCCCTCTCCAGCATATCTGAAACACCATCCCTGACTATAGTACAAGAACAGTTCTATTAAAAACTCTGCATAAACTCAGTTTCAACCATTGATGAAGGGAAGGCAGTTTCCTTAAAACTGGTGGTGGTGGCTGATGGGCAGGGGTTGGGGGGGGAAGAGAATGAAAGAACAGCCCAATCTCAAAACACACACACACTGCAGAAACTAGATTTAAAAAGAGAAAGAGAAAAATAACAAAGAATTGGGCACACAAAGCAACAGAATTACTTTCCACTTGCTTTAAGAAAAAAGTCATTTTACAGATATGCACTGTTGTTTTTTTAAATTCCAACTGCTTTACTGAACAAGCATCTTACTTTGACCTTAGAATACTCCAAAAATGTATCAGTGTAAGATTGCATGGTGTCTCCCATGGCCTGTTGATGCGTCTGATTCCAAACTGTGCTCAGTAAAGTCATACACACACACACACACACACACATTTGGGAAGGAGTGGGTGTGAAATTAAGTCTGAAATAAAAAAGGGGAAAGGATGCAATATCCAAACAACAAAGCTCTACAGTTGGAAATGCATTCGGCTAAAATATCCCCCAGATTTGATTACGACTCTAGACGGCAGGTCAGGCTTACATTTGTTAGACAGAAACACATTCATCCTCCTCCCCCTCTCCCCAAAGCACAATTTTAAAAAGCAATGCAGAATTAACACATGCAGAATTAACACATTCATTTTATTCAATAAGTCAACACATTCTGCCCCTGAATATACACACACACACATATTTTTTTAAAAAGGATGATCACCTACTTCTTCTCCCAGTAAATGTGGCTAACAAAGGGATTATACAAAAGCTGTAAGATCCCACTACCAGCAAGGTCAATAAGGTAATATCGCAGTGGCTCCTTGAATCTGCCGGTGGCGTTAGGGTAGAATTGGTGAAAATATGAGGAGAAAAGTCAGTTTCTGTGCAACTGCGAAGTCCTCCTGGTATAGTCATTTAAAATGATCAAAGCAAGCTCAAAGCCCGAAAGACTGCAGCCATGTTCAACCCTCTCTCGTATTCCCCACGCTTGCTCTTAGTGAATTAGAGTGGAAAAAAATTGTAAGCTTCAAGGCAGGAGACAAAACAGATTAAGCCAACTAGCCATCAAGCTAAGAAAGAGTCGTCAATTAATCTGAAAAGGAGACCACCACATTTCTTTGTTATGAAGCAAAAAGACCTCCCCTTTGTTACGAGCAGAGTATAAGAAAAACGAACAGAGCATTTACAACCTCCTTAGGTGAGTCAGGCACCGTAGTATACTGTGCAGCCCCAAAAAAAAACCCCCAACATGGCTGTCTGTTCAGAGCCAATCTGTTTGTAGGAGAGATGAATGCTGCAAAATTTAAATGTTTTTAAAGAAAATAGTACACAGGGAATATTTGTTTTAAAGGAAAGAGTAAGTAAAGGGAAATGCAATAAACCTATATATATTAAAAAAGCTGTTCTGCAGTTTGCCTCCTCAGCTCAACAAGGTTTTAGCATAATATCTCTCCTCTCCACACAGAAGATTTGAGCAGCTTCAATATGTAGCACCATTGCTACACCCCCCCCAAAAAAATCCCTACAATTTAAGGCAGTATCAAAGCAGGCAACAGTTAAGCTTTGTCAGGGGGCTGTTTAGTATTAATTCCTTAATGGTACTTAAACAGCGTGCTTGTAAAAATTGGTTTAAGCTGGTAAGCAGCAACTTATTTGAAAGCCTAACAAAACGAAGACACCTGCTGTAAAATCAGAAAGGAACAATGTTGTACATAAAGACCGCGTACTACAATGAAAGCTAGTCTTAAACCACAAGTTATTTCCATTGCCATTGGTGGATTGTGTTGCCTGCTCAGTGACATGGGTACACATTTGCAAACATCAGGGGGTCCAACAACATGAGCATTTTCCAGTTACTGTTTTCTACCTGTTATTTAGGATAACATTGCAAGGATGAAGACAGCCACAACACCATCAGTGCCATAAGGACAGACTTAAGCCGTTTAGGGTTTTATTCAAATTATCTTTTTTTAAAAAAAGAGATGGATTAACAAAAAACGACTTACAATTATTGCTGCGTGTACTTTGGTCACTCTGAGTGCTACTGACAGAGGAAATGCTAGGTGTTCTCCGTATTCCTTGTCCTTTGACAGGCACTTTTGATTTGGGACTCGGCTTAGCAGAACTGGTCCAAGATCCTGGCAAGACTTTCACAGATGCAAGCCTCCCCTTGGGAGAACACGTTTCTGTTCCTGCCAGCATAAAAAGGGAGTGAGTCACTAACAAAGATTACCAAAGTAGTAATCTCTAAAACAGTTTAATAAAATAAAAAAAGCCTTGCTTTTGTCTCATTAAGGCATTAGTAAGCTGGGGAGATCTACATACGTAAGAATAAATATCACGATGTGGCAGAAGCTAAAAATCATGACAGCTAACAGGTGTGATTCTGGAGAGCTCTTTGTGTTAAAATGTCCCAAAATAAGAATGTACAATGTAGGCAAATACAGTGGTACCTCGGGTTAAGAACTTAATTCGTTCCGGAGATCCGTTCTTAACCTGAAACTGTTCTTAACCTGAAGCACCACTTTAGCTAATGGGGCCTCCCACTGCCCCGCCAGCGTGTGATTTCTGTTCTCATCCTGAAGCAAAGTTCTTAACCCGGGGTACTATTTCTGGGTTAGCGGAGTCTGTAACCTGAAGCATATGTAACCTGAAGCGTCTGTAACCCGAGGTATCACTGTATCAGCATCTATCACATTGTTTCCTGTTCATTCTGCAAGAAGCTTGGGGTGGCACACCTAGGCGGTCTCATTTTATTATACAAATACCCCACAAGATAAGTTAGAAGATAATGAACTTAAATGACTGTGTGAGGATCTGAATGTAGTCTCCCCAGCCAGTACTTTCTGAAAGGCATTTTCAGTGGCAAGGAAAATTTCAGCACAACTCCTGTAACTCAAGCCCTCTACACCATTCTGGCTGGGTTTGGCACCCACAACCCAACCCGCACACACCTTTCTTGAATGCACCACCAGTAATTTGTCATTTCTGAGAAACAGTCCTAAGGACCAGAAGTAGGCTTGGAGATATTTGCAAAAGTGCAGGTTTTAACCCATTCTGGGGGGTAGATGTGCAGGTTCAAGAGCTCTGTGCCAACTCTATGAGACTTTAGGGAGTTTAGAGGTTGGTAAGATGCGCTGCTGCTCACCGGAGAGGAATTGTTAGAAATGATGGCATTTCATGCCCTGGAAGTCTCCTGCAAAATCATCAGCTGCCCAATTCCATTTTTAAGTCAGCCGGTTAAAAGATTAGTTCTGTTTGAGAGACAGAATCTCAAAAGCACAAATTTGGCAAAGGCGATTAAAACACACACACACACACACACACACACACACACACACACACACAATGCCGCCAAATCTCAACACCAGATGGCACTGTAAGATAGCATAGAAACCCTAATAGCTTTTGCAGTTTTACTTAACACTTGAATTTTTTTTTTATTTAGTTTTCATTTTACAACAAACACCAAACATAGACTCAAATTATTCCACACATCATATTTTGACTTCCCTCCCCCCACTTTCTGTGGTTTCTTATATCTATACTTTTTACTGCATTTCCAAGTTAACCCTATTTATTACGGTATTTATCCCAGATAATCAATATATGTTTTCTGTCACTGCACGTTTTTACTTCATTGCTAATTGCTTCATTACTACTGCTAATGTCTCAATTTGTAAATATTTTTGTAATTATAATTTGTAAAATAATTTTGTAAATATTCAACAAATGGTTTCCATTCTATATTAAAAAGTTTGTTTCTTATTCTTCCAGTAAGTTTTGCCATTTCTGAGTATTCTAAAATAGCTTCTGTTGCCATTCTTCTTTGGTTGGAACGTTTTCTTCTTTCCATCTTTGGGCAACAATCACTTGAGCGGCAGTGGTCACATACATAAATACATTTTGATATTGCTTAGGTAACTGTAGCCCCATACTTCCCAAAAGAAAAGCTTCTACCACTTGAATTTGTTAACTAGCTGTTTTAACTTAAACAACTTGAACAGATCAATTAAAAAAGGAGCTACTAGACACGACGGGACTCTTAATTGAGAAAAAGCCCAAATACCTTGGAGTGTGGCAAAAACCCAATAATATAAATATCTTTAAGGACAATTGTATTAAAATACGCAGGACGCGGGTGGCGCTGTGGTCTAAACCACTGAGCCCCTTGGGCTTGCCAATCAGAAGGTCGGCGGTTCAAATCCCCGTGACAGGGTGAGCTCCCATTGCTCAGTCCCAGCTCCTGCCAACCTAGCAGTTCAAAAGCACACAGTGCAAGTAGATAAATAGGTACTGCTCAGGCGGGAAGGTAAACAGCGTTTCCGTGCGCTGCTCTGGTTTTGCCAGAAGTGGCTAAGTCATGCTGGCCACATGACCCAGAAAAACTGTCTGCGGACAAACGCCGGCTCCCTCGGCCTGTAAAGCGAGATGAGCGCCGCAACCACAGAGTTGCCTGCAACTGGACTTAACTGTCAGGGGTCCTTTACCTTTTTATATTAAAATATGGACAGGGATTAAGAGAAATTTGGAAGTTTGGGGGAGGATGAACCTCTCATTGTTGGGAAGAATATCAGTTATTAAGATGAATGTGCTACCAAAAATGCTGTTTTTATTTCAAACAGTTCCATTGAACAGAATGCTTCAATGAGTGGCAAAGAGACATTACGAGATTTGTCTGGCGGGGGGGGGGGACCAAGAATAAAATATGTTACTAGTGGATCTAAAAAATTTAAATAAGACCCAAAAAAACCCCACAAAAGGGGGGGGAGTCTAATATGCATTTGTATTGGAAGCATGTGATTGTAAGGTGTGTATCTGTAAACTTTTGAAAACTGAAAATAAAATTATAAATAAATAAATAAAAGAAACAACTTGAACAACTGAAAAATTAAAAGTCCAAACAGCTATTTCATTGTTTTTTCTCCCTACAATCTAAACTGACTTTATCCAAGTAAACCATCATCAAATAAGTGGACAGTGAACCCTGCTGTTGGAAAAATAGAAAGCACAAGTTGCATACATGAGTAAAATTGGACACTACATCAACTGCATGATAGCACTGGTGTAGAAGCCCCCAAGAGAGGGGGAGTTTTAACCCCCTCCTTCCTACCACCAGTTTCCCCCAAACTCCACTCTAAGATGCTATGTGCTCCAGGAACAAAGTTATTATGGGTGCATATAATAACTGGCCAGAAAATCAATAGCACTTTTAAAAATAAGAAGCAGATTATATGAATTTGTTTCACCAATGCTAGGTCTAAAAAACAACAACAACATACACACATAATGTCAATTCAACATCCTGGAAGTCTATGGAAAATGGAACCACACAAGTATCAGCAAAAATGACTGGTAGGAATTGTGTATCAGAAACAGGTGCATGACCAATTTTAAATGCAGATTTATTTTGGACAAGCTACATCCTAATAATAATTAAAATAAGCATCCTGTTTCTATTCTATTGATACATCAGACCATGGGGATAGGGTAGAAACTCAGTGGATGAGCAGCGTTATTAAGAGATCTTATTCTCTCTGGATTCAAGCCATGGCAAGCCCTGACAAAAAATAGTTATGGGTGATAAAAAACCAAAACAAAACCCCCAAATCACCTAGATTAAACTCTAATGGTTTACATGGGCTATTTTGATTGCTGTTACCATTTTTAAAAAATCTTGGCAGCCACTGGACTTTCAGCCCCTCATCATGCAAACAGGCATCACAATATCCTTTGGCAAGGAATAGAGAAAGATTGATGAGCCTTCTTAACTTCTGAGCTTATCAAATGCTTCCAAACATTTGACATCTGGATGAAGAGGATTAGTCATTAGGTTTGATGGGGGAAATTTCCCTGTGTTCATCCCATTTTAGAGCTTTTTTCTTGCTGGTAGCAATGCAACAGATCCAGTTTCCAGATAAGAAACACCAAGGTATGCAATAGATCAACCCAAGTTTTCTCTATCCAAATCTTGCACGGAGAATATGAAATTGCTGTTTGAGAAATGCATTACTTACACTATTTCAGAACCTTAGTCAGGGCAGAACTTTTTAGGCAGCTGCTGATCATAATTTATTTCCTCCTGCAATACAGTCCACCGCAAACAGGCTTACTTCATTGTTTATGATGCTGATAGCTAACTTTACTGTCTCAAAAATGCTGATGAGAACCCAAGCCATCCTTTGGACAATAATGAGAAATGATATACAGTTACACTTAGGTGACTTATAGTGTTGCATCCTAGGATGTGATCTGCTAAGGGCTTTGCAAAGATTTTTAATTTGCTCTTTTGCTTCTACTAAAGTCAGCATTTTGAATATAACTAATATATTTGGTGACAGTAAACATACAACTGGACTAGACAAATACTAATTGAGACCTAGTCTAGACATGCAATCGCATGCGTCTCCTCCTACTTTTTTCCAAGCCAAAAGCAACCTTGGAAAGCTTTGAATTTCAGCAGAGGAATGTGGAGGCAGGACCGCTTATTTCCCCCCAGCTGATTTTCCATCTAAGGGAAAGAGATAAAGTCCTTATATCTTTCCCCTCCACAGGCAGAAAAGTATCTAGAAGGGACCATTTCAAACAGAAAAATCAGGGGGAAAGTCTACACAACCCACCACCAAAAAAAATCCAATTCACAGCCTCCCTAAGCCACTTAAAAAAAAAAAAGATAAGGAAAGATAAACACCACATGTCTAGTTTTGGCCACAGTTTAAGCCAAACTGTTCGGCCATCATGAAAGAAATACAGGCATCATTATCAAAAGCCAGATGACATGTTTGGATTTAATTCCTCTCAGTTTACTTTATAAAGGATGGCAACTGAAACCCAAACCACGTTAAAGGGTTTGTTGCTAGCAGTGCAAAGCTTGATGGCAGTATAAGCAGGGGGTGTGCGTGTTATTTTTTAAGTCAACTTTGAACAAAGAACACTATTTGCCTACTCACTTAGGATGGGCAGCAACTGCTTCTCAAAGAACCTCGCAACAAACTGTGCACACATCTACCATAGCAGAGTACTTAGCCCAAAGCAGAGTATACATCTCTCCTGCATCACTTTTATCACTGGATATGCATTATCTGCAGTCACCTTTCTGTGGCTCAGTGCTCAGCACACAATAAGGAAGGGTCTGTTCATTTCGGTTCTCTCGGTTTCTCACACACACCCCATCTTAAATTCAGTTCTCATCATTTTGTAGTGACTTGCAAGAAAAACCTGCACTAAAAAGTTAATGGATTTTCCTAATTTTTATACGCAGTTTTTTACTGAAGTACACACTTTTGCAAGCAAGTTTCCTCCAACATGATGCATTTTGGAAGCTATTTTTACTAATATTTTCATTTTTATGCACACTTTCCCTCCCTCCAAAATATATGCATTTTTTAATACATTGGTTGGAGAACTGCATCGAGCAAGTGTGAATTTCAAAGGATAGCTGTGTTTCAGTTCACATATCATTTCAGAAAGTGTGAATTTGATAGATTTGGCTTTAAATCCATATCAAATCAAATTTCTCCTCCATCTCTAGCACAGAAGCTAGCTCTGATGCCTACACAGCCTGGGCTCTGTCATTTCTTCTTTCCAGTGTTGAACTAGATGCCCTTTAATACTTAGGTGAAAGTAAAGGAAGATGGACACTTGCTCAGCCACAGTACAAAAAAAGCAAACGAGTCAAAACATGAAGGCTGCACATTGAGAAGTGGCCTTTCTTATCTCCACCAGTATGAAAGGGACTCCCATTCCACAACTGAGCTGTGTGCTAAGCAGACCCAGAAGTGTGTCTGGCCTGTCACCTTCTAGCACTTCAGCCTTTAGCAAGGGAAGTAGAATAGCACACCTAGGAACTGAGGGATTATAATTGGAGGCTCACCTCCCGCAAGTGCTTAGACATCCACAACTGACTATTTTTAAAAGAAAAACTGGGAATGGGCTTGAGTCTTCCTAGGCACTCCAACTTCAGAAAGTATTTGAACAATAAGAAGAACAGAAGAACAATTAAAGTTGTTTTAATTAATCCATAAAAATTGACTCCATTCCCAATTCATGGGAGTTTTGCCCTGCCACAGGATCGTTTTTGGAATAGGAGTTTAACAAACAGAGCAGGGGATGATCCCTAAATTATTCACATGGCTACTGTAAAGCCTCACAGATGATGAGGTTTTGGTTCCTGAATGTACAAGCCTAACTTCTTCTTTGAGCTTACTCAAACCCTTCCTGCCAGACTCACCTCAGTGGAAATAACAGCTAAAATTATATTAATGCAAATATTTTCTCCTCTGCATCAAGTATGTTTTAAGCATTATGTCAATAAATGTATTACAGTTGTACATCGGAAGTAGAACAGAATCCGTTCCAGAAGTCTGTTTGATTTCCAAACTGTGGCTTCTGATTGGCTGCAGGAAGCTCCTGCAGCCAATCGGAAGCTGCAAAAGCCGTCGGACATTCGCCTTCCAAAAGAATGTTTGAAAACCGGAACACTCACTTCCGGTTTTCGTTCGTTCAGGAGCCGGAATGTTCGACTCCCAAGGCATTCGGGAGCCAAGGTACAACTGTATTACGTAATAATAATAATTATGTAATAATACTGCAGGGAAACAGGAACCATAAGTGCCTTCTGCTTTTGGCTCTGTCACATCTCCAACCTCCTGTCCTCCCCAAAATGGGAGCAATGGAAGATGGTATGGAGGATATTTTTTTTCCAGATATGTAAGTGCGGCCATAACTTGGTATGGAGAAGCAGGAAATTCATGGCACTCAAGAATTCCTTGACAATTTTGTCATGTATATGCTGCGGTCTTGCCAAGCCACAATTCAGGCTCTTAAGAATGACTCAGATAATCTATAGTTGGCTTGCAACCAAGCATGACCTTTGGCACCTATGCTAAACGACAGAGTATTTGTTCAAAACCCTATTTCGTGTTTCTTTTTTATATATGTGAAATCATGGATAAAACATTCTGTACAGTGACAAGACTGTTCCAGACATGCTTAAAGCTTCTCCATCCCTCAAGGCTCGCCAATGTGATGCAAAGGAAAGTTCTTGATATTAAGAAAGAGGAGAACATTTTAGCAGCTTGGAATTCCACTTACATTAAGTGAGGAAAAAGTGTGCTATGCCAGTAGCAGCTAGCTCTGAAATTGAAACTAAGACACTCACCCATCATTATCATTATCATTACCACTAACCAGATAATGATTACTCAGATAAAAAGCCTTTAAGAACAGAAAATTGGGAAGGCTCCAGAAAGACTTGGCTGCGTACACATAAGATTTTATTCTAGCTAGACTCAATGGACACCAAGAACTTGCTTTTTCTATGTTGCATATTTTCCCCACCCCTCTGAAAAGCACTGCCTGAGAAACTCTCTCCTCCAGACACAAACTAACTGAAACTGGGTGGATTTGTGAATTTATAAATTACTGTTTTGAAAGAGCAAAAAAAGTTTTCCTTTTTGTTTCAGCATGCCTACCTCCCACTAAATAAGATTTTGTATGTATGGAAGCATAAAAAGGTTGCATTGAAGAACCAAAAAAGCAACAACACCCAGCTTTACAAAAAAGCTCACATGAAAAATAAAAACTGAGAAATAATTTTTCAGATCACCAGCACTTTGTTTATACATAACAAACTTACGTTAGTTTGGGTTGTTTCTCACTTTAAAGAGGGTGGGAAAGTCAGGACAATTAAAACTGGTTTTTCTGGGTAACAAGTCGTTTGCATGCTTTTAAAATGAGGGTATGTTTTCTAAATTAACTTTACATGTCCAGACTGACTTTTTAGTTTGCAATTCTTAGAACAGGTGTGGGCAGAAGATAGTTCAGGATCTACTGGTACATCCCTAGTGATTGGCAGGGGCTTCCAATTCCCAATTGTTTAGCAATAGCAACAGCAACAGAATGACATTTCCACCCCACTGCAGCCTACATTAGGCTGCCGAAATGAGCTAGGGGTAACTAGGAGTGAACATGCGTGAAAGGGCTCAGTTATGGTGATGAAAACAGATCCCTAGGCTCAGAATGTGCTGTGCTTTCATTCTATGTCTTTTGCATCTGGCCGTGTTTGGTGGATCTTGGGGTTCCAATAGGAGAAAGCAGAGCCAATGAGACTGGAGACTTGCTAAAGATAGTCAATAGATGGGTACACGTGTATACATTTAAGGTGTTTGTTTTTATTCTATAAAATGAAACCCCAGGTCCAAAATCAGGACTGCAGCATACAGGGAGCAGCTTTATTCACTTTCCCTTCAAATCATGGTCCCAGCCTATTATCCTCCCCATGAGAGAAGCTAACATTGGCAGCAATAATAAACTTCCGTTATGCATAAATGCCATATTTGGAAGAAAAGTAGTTAACTGGGACCATGGCATAGTAGGAAAGCCCATATGCCGCAATCCTGGTACTGATGGGGGGGTCACAACTGGTTAAATACACAAGGGTTAAATATACAATATACTTTAAAAGCATGCACACATGACTGGGCTACGGGGCAAACCACACAGCCTCCTTAATGTGCCACTACTGCTATAAAATACTCTGCATTTCCCCAACTCCAGCACCAGTAGTCACACAAGCTTATATGAACAAGGGAAAGAAGACCATATAATTGCCACTAGAATAATCTGAGCTCTGCAGAGATCGTGGAAATTGGGAGTTTGTGGTCTCATGACCAAAGTCCATTTGCACAGACCCCAGCACACGCCAGCAGCAGATACACGACCCATCCACTCCTCAGAGCAGGTTTCCACTTCCAAAGAACTGCCATGCCCAGGAAGAGGGGGGGGGTTCCAAGTAAAGGACAGTCAACAACTACAGATCTAAGCAGAATAAAACCTCCCATTTCTTTCCTCACGGAACAGGGTTAGGTGTCCGTGCATTCTGCAGCTGAAAAGTCAAAATTGAGGAGATGCAGGGGAGGGGAAGGGAGGGGAAATGACCAGCAGTGACTTGGCGTCAACAGTGACGTGCAGCAAGCATTTCGCACAGGCACAGAATTCCAAAACTGGGCTACTTGCAATGCACTGTCATGGGAGATTCCACACAAAACAGGCAACTAACAAAAGTTTTTCTCACCAGAATTTGACGACAGGACTGCTCTTGCTCTTGGAGGAGATAAAATTTTAGATGCGTGGCCATTTTTGCTGTCACTTCCTCTCCTGGAGCGGAATGCAATCTTGGAGGCCGGCATATTCCTCACGGCAACAGGCCTGTCCTTGGGTAAACTTTGTCCTTGGGTTGCCTCTGCTTTAGGCAAAGAAACCTATATGGTTCAGGAGCATGTGGGGGGTAAAAAACAACAACAAGCAGTCATGATCAAACTACAAAGTGAATCTATAAGCAATATAGATATATATATTATTAGCCTCACTTTAATGCGGAGCATTAAGGTAATAATGGAGAGAGGCTAATGGAGAATCATTGGATTGAACATGAACTGAAGGCTTGTCTCAAATTAAAGAGTATCCCAACATCAACAGGCAAACATTTGTCCTGCTGACAGCCACCCACATGCTCTAATTTAGAAAGAAAGAACAGCTGTGGTCAAAAGATTATGGACATCACTTCTGGTATTTAATTATGATATGAAGTTTTTTTTTAAAAAAATGTATTGCATGAAAGTGTAAGCTCCCCTGCTTCTACAAGGATCAGGGGAACTGCTCAAATGAAATTTTGGGGGGAGATGTTAAAAGGATGTTAAGAGATGCCATTGAACAAGAGCTAAGATAATAGTTTTGGCATTAGCCCTCTTCAGGTGCACAGCCTGAACATGTGAAGGACAAAATGTGCGTAGGTAGTCATGCAACCACACAACATCCCCATCATCCCTCTGTGCACCTGTCCCACCCCACTCCTCTCCTCACCTTTGTTTTAAAAGCCTCAAGTCAAGTCAAAACCTTCAATCCAGAGGTAAAAGCATGAAACCAATGCAGGAATTGAGGCAGATTTCCTATACGAGTACTCCTTCACTCATAACATTATTATTTCAGTATTATTATCTTGCTTAAGAATTTGTGAATTAAAAGACAGCTTTATGAAAACCTACTAGTGGAGTCGAGGAAGGTGATTTTCTCGCTCAGTGGTCCTGTTTAGAAGCAGGGATCCAAATGTTTTGGTTTGGCTTTGTAACAAGCCACGATTTGCTATTATCAGTGCGCACACACAAACATGCACAGTCCTCTGACATGTGCCTATGCTATACGCTGAGCTTTGGAGAAGGACCTCGAGAGATTCACACAGCCTTCTCCAACCCCAGCACCAAGTGAGGGAAGGTCTCACTTATTCTCAGAGTCTTCTGCAAATAACTTGTAGGAGAAGCAAGGTCTGATCTTACTTTGCACTTTAATTTTTAATCAAATACCAGCACCAAGTCTAAAACCAATGTACTTGAGGAATCTGTACCAAAGAGTATGCCTACAAACCCTTAAAAATTGTATTTAAAAAAACCCCACAGTGCCAGAGATTAAAACGCTCTTATAAGTTTTATAACTGGCTGCAGGAAGTTTGTCATAAGCTTTTCAAAAGTCTCTCATTGAAGTCAGCTCTTGCACAATACTTTAATTGCTGTGCTGAAAAGAAAACATTTCTGCAAATATTATCGCTAGCAACTGTCATCCTGAGAGCTTGATAAAGGAACACCTACACATTGCTGCCCCTGCAACAAGATTTCCAGTTCTAGGATGTCAAGATGTTTTAATCATTTTGGTATAAACTAAATAATGTTGCAACTGAAAGCAAAGAGGCTGTATTTTGTTGCAATATAGGTGCATATCAAAGCTTTACTAGTTGCAAATTTCAAAGAAACTGACTATGCCTAGCTATAAACAGAAGGTTACAAATAAGATTGGTGGGGTATTGGAATGAAAACTGTAAACAAGCTGTCCTGCATTAGTTTTGAGTGAACCTGCATTATAAAATTTTCAACAGGCTGCATCCGGGTGGCAGCTTCTCACTGCAAGGCTAAATAAGCAAAGCAGAGGAGGGAAAGGAAGAGCCACCGAGAACGATCCTGCGCCACTTTGGGCACTGCCACACATAACACTTACTAGGAGCATTATGATCTTACCAGCAGCACATAAATCACATTTGGCTTGCATCTGTCAGGTTTAACAAATCACCATACCCAATATTTGTAATAAATCCTCTACCTGCTTACCCAATCTGCCTGTAAAGTCAAAGAGGTAGCTATCACCATGTGTTTATATGCTGAAAATGCTAGAGGTTTGAGTTCAATAAACACGCAGTCCATGTTCTGGAAACAACCTGAAGATACATTTAAGTTGTTGTTGTATTAAGAAACTTACCGAGAGAACTTTGTTTGCAGTATCTTTTGCAGACTGCTCTGCTGGAATTCCACAAAAGCCATTCTGCTTCTGCTTCTCTTCCCCTTGAGATACCTGACTCAAAGCACAAGGCTGCGCCCAAGACTCTGCACTATCCATTTTGTCGCTCGCTGTCCCACCCGAGTCCTGGGAGCATGGAGCTGCCACAAGGGAGCATGTCAAACTAGGGCATCTTGCCTTGTCGACCTGTTCCATGCTCTGCTTCGACACTGTTGTTTTTAGAGCCTTGTGGGAAGTGTTTTCGGAATGAGTTGCAGCATGCACAGCTTGGCTAGGAAGGTGTTTATTAAAATGTTGCTTGGGAGTTTTATTCATTGGTGCTTCTGATTTTGTACCTTTATCCAAGTCTATTTTTTTCCTCAGTGCTGCAGCTGAAGAGGATGGTTGCCTTGGGGAAGACGACGGGGAGGATGAGGAGGCTGTAGACAGCTGAGGAGATCTTTGAGCTGCTTTCGATGCACTACTTTCTCTTGGCTGAGACACAGGCCTGGACATAACTTTTGGCTTGACATTTTTAAAGTTTGGTTTTGGAAAGCTCACTATCTCTGCCTTCCTAGCTTTGGTTATGGTAGCTGCAAAGGGAGACCTGTTTGGCGATTTAACTGCAACTCGTTCAGCATTACTTTTCAATGATGTCCTCCTGGGGTGGTCTTTCGCCAAGTGGCCATTCTTTCCACCTTTGGAAATTCCATCACCAACTTCATCAGGGGTAGCAAACACAGCAAAAGTTGTATTTGTTGACCCTGCTTCAGGAGGTGGAGAAGCCAAGTTGTGTTCATCAGGTGAGGGACTAAAAACCACAAAAGTCTCATGGCAACTAGGCTCAGCCAAATCAGCCCTTTCTAACTTCGGTATATCACAGTGTAGCGTCTCGGACATTTTATCATCGTGTCCTTCAAGCAAAACCTGATCTTCTTTAGAAGTATTTTGTGCTTTGGTCAAGATCTCCCTGTCTTTGTCAGACTCCTGTTCTGAATGCTCATCAAAGCTCTCAATTACTAGAGGGCACATGCCATTGATGGTGCCATCAACTCCAGGTTCAGCTTCATCATGCTCAGGTGTGCTATGCATATATTTCTTGTGCTCATCATTGAACCGATTAAATGGTTCCATTTCTGGTGAGCTCCCACAGAAAGAATCACCACATTCAACATCCTGCTTTCCCTGCTGTTCACTGTTCTGCGATACTAAATCTATATAATTGGTGGCCTTATCTCCTGTCAGTGAAAGAGAAGTAGGTAACACTCCGCTATCTAGCTGTATGACACTTATCATATTTGGGTTGCCAAAGGCATCTAGCTTAGGGGAACCAGCATTGTGTGTGTAAGCAACAGTTTCACAAGTGTCCCCAGAATATGCAGGCATCTGAGGGGCACATCCCACCTCATAACACTTGCTTCCCACAGTATCCCCCAGGTTTATAATGGTAATGAAAGAGTCACTTGAACTAGCACCTTCCTGTTGCATTTGGGCATGATCATCTTGGATTTCAGTAGTTGTGTTTAGTTCCACAGCAGCGAGGGGCACTGGGTGCGTTAAGTCCGCCTGGCAATAAGGCACAGATTCCTCCGTACTGCAATTCTGGATACTCTTTACTGCAAGACCCTCTTTGAGAGGGTTCTCTGGCTCCTGGAAATTCTGATTGAAGGCATGCATGTAAAACTGTTCCTTTGCACAAGGGATGTGCATGGCCTCCAGATCTGAAGTCCCCATGCAGATATAGTCACTGGCAGTCTTTTGAAGATCTTTTGCTTCAGTGCTCTGAGGATTTGAATAAATATCTGCCTCACTTGTATCCTTAAATTCGATATAGTCTTCATGTCCCAGCTCTTGGTGGCAGTGGCTAACAGTGCCGCCATTCAGGGAGGTTGACGAAGTAGCGTTACACACATATTTATTGCCATTTTCATCCCTGATGATTATAGGAGGCTGCAAGCCCTGTTTCTCTATGCTTTCAATGTTCATTTTTAACTGTGTTTCTAGCTTGTCCTCATCCTAATCTGCAGAATGTTCAGGATTTAAGGCTTTTTCCATCACTTTTAAAAAAACTTCTCTCAGTTTTGTGTCTGTTTTCCGGAATTGTAGGGCTTTTCAAGTATATTCCCAATTCTGACCTGAAATGGAACACATGGAAAAATTAGAGAACACTCCTTGCTTTTCCCCTTCCTTTTTCCCTTTAAGGAAATAGCAGCTTGGGGTGTTGGACTGGCTGAGAATGTATAAGGTAAAGGTAAAGGTACCCCTGCCCGTACGGGCCAGTCTTGCCAGACTCTGGGGTTGTGCGCCCATCTCACTCAAGAGGCCGGGGGCCAGCGCTGTCCGAAGACACTTCCGGGTCACGTGGCCAGCGTGACATTGCTGCTCTGGCGAGCCAGCGCAGCACACGGAAACGCCGTTTACCTTCCCGCTAGAAAGCGGTCCCTATTTATCTACTTGCACCCAGGGGTGCTTTCGAACTGCTAGGCGCTGGGACCGAGCAACGGGAGCGCACCCCGCTGCGGGGATTCGAACCGCCGACCATTCGATTGGCAAGCCCTAGGCGCTGAGGCTTTTACCCACAGCGCCACCCGCGTCCGGCTGAGCCACCCGCCACCGGCTGAGAATGTATAGGAAATGGTTAACTTCCCTTCCATGAAGTCCTAAGCTGGATCAGGGCCTCTACAGCTGCCTTTTGGGGAAAGAGGAATAAACAAGTGCTAGGGCCCATTTTTAAAAGAGAAAGAGCGGGGGAGGGAGAGGGAGAGAACTAACGTTTAACAGCCCTGGTACCTGACCAAAATTAGAACAAAATAAAATGCAGCTGATATGAAAAGTTCAAGCATGTTTTAGGCTTGAGGTCTAAAGACCAAGAACTTCATGCCAAGTAGTTAAAACCCTACAACGTATCATTAACACACACTTGGAGGGTGACAGCCTATGTGGGGATTTAGGTATTAAAAAATTTAAAGCATTTTTCTCAACAGCATGTGTTGACAAATAATACTACACATTTGGTTGCATCTGCATCACACACTTAAATCACATTGCTTTTCCCAAAGAATCCTGGGAACTGTAGTTTATCCCACACAGAGGTACAATTCCCAGCACCCTTAACAAACTTCACTTCCCAGGATGTGAAGGAATGTGCTTTAAAGGTATGGTGTGGATACCACCACTGTATCCCGTAACATTTGCTTTTGAGAGCTAGGCCTACACATTTCTTCTACAATTATACAATATTGCTTTGATATCTCCAGCAGTTTGGTTTCCAACTTGTTTTTTGTTTATTTGTTTAAAATGCATATAAAACAAGCAGTCAGGTACGTGTTTTTTCCTCACTGTATCAGTCTACACAACACCTGATGTGTCTCTCACTGGCAGCCTGAAACCAAATACTTGAAGAAAGCTTCATCAGCTGAATTGGTTTCACTTTCCAAAACAGCCTCAGAAGCCAAATGTACAGTGGTGCCTCGCAAGACGAAATTAATTCGTTCCGCGAGTTTTTTCGTCTTGCGATTTTTTCGTCTTGCGAAGCACGGTGTTGGAAAAGTTTTGGGAAAGCTTCAAAAATCACTAAAGTCTTCAAAAACCTCAAAAAAGGCTACCACACCGCGTGCTATGAGTTGCTCCTCGAAGTCAAGTCGCAACTGTATTAACGGTTTTAAGAAAAAGGAAACAAACTTGCAAGACGTTTCCATCTTGCGAAGCAAGCCCATAGGGAAAATCGTCTTGCGAAGCAACTCAAAAAACCAAAAACCCTTTCGTCTTGCGAGTTTTCCGTCTTGCGAGGCATTCGTCTTGCGAGGTACCACTGTATAAGTACAAATAAGAACTGATGCAAATGAGAACCGAGTATAAAACTATAGGCACTGCTCTCAACCTAGTTAAATCCACTTGAAACTAATGTAGGTTTTCTAATACCTGCTAGGCTCTTCTTCTAATCATAAATTCCAAGTTGCATTTACTCAGTGGATCAGTACATAGCCCCCAGTTTGGACCATATCCATATCAAAGATGAAAGCTGCTCCAATTTTAGCCAATTTTTCTCCCACCCAAGCACCACCCTCATCCCACAGTCTTCAGAGGCTCCCTTGCCCCCCCAGACCTTTTTTCAGGGGGCATAGGGTGAGAGGAAGGGGGGTTCTCCTGCTAACTTTCTTCCATTTGTGGTTGCTCAAGATCCAAAATGTTGGAGAGGGAGTTCCTCCAGCACCCTCTGATGTCAGAGCCCTAATTAACAGGAGTTCCAAAGATGCTAGAGTATCTATCCCCTCACTCATCAAACCATTCCAAGCAAAGCTAGGTTCTTTTTACAATTTCACTCATTAGGGACTCTTAGTATTGTGCGTAGTAATCAGAGCAAGCAGGCAAAAAACAAAACAATCCATCATTATCCATTCATTGTGAATATCCGAGACACTTTTACCTAACATTTCTGTCTCCATTTATCATCCCATTATGCTTAAGGTCAGTCTTAATGCAGTACAACACACACACACCCCAAAAATCCAAAGGCTTAGGTACATGCAAAAAGTTCAGAAATTAATCCATCTTTCTAATTACCGGTACCTTTATTTTCCCATTATATTAAGGATGTGGAACCTGTGGCAACCCTGAGGTAGCTGGACTATAACTTCATGATGCCAAACATCACTGGATGGATAAAAGCCACAGATGCGACTGATGATGACCTAAACCTGCAGCCTATTTGGGATGGGAGTATATGGCACTACCCACAAGTTCACACTTACTGCTTAGTATTATTTATGAAGCTTACACTGCATTACTCCCTGTTGACTTTAGGTCCATCTAGTGTGCCATCCCTAACATCTACTATATATTGTTGACTTGCCCAAGGCACTCTTATGGCAAACGTTTCCTGAAACACTATTGGAAATAATACCCTTGCACAGCGGCAATGTTACCACTTGCTTACTCTGTTTATTTGAACTTCTAATCCACCTTTCCCTGAAGGCTTACAGCAGGCAAAACAAAACATTCAAATAAAATCAGGACGGCTTGATGGTATGCTTAGTCATCCTTAACTATAATATACCTGCCCAAAGTCTTTTATTGCCTCTGGGAGACACTCTGGCTCAGGATTATGAAGTTTCTGAAGAATGAAACTCAAAAGCTGGGAGTACCTCCCAACAGCAGTTTGTTTTTGTGGGCCCTCAATATTGATACTTGATGCTTAGCAGGCATCACTCTAAAATGCCCATGGCAGAAATCAGAGGGCACAGGCAATGTAAATGTTACAGTATGCTAGGGTGTTTCGGTAACTTAAAATGAAACACCTGAAGATTTCGAGGTTTATTTTACTACAACCCTTCCATTTAGCCAACAGATGACACACAGGGGATTGAACAGCTCGATCAGGCATAGCACAGATCACTGCAGTGTTACAAAAGTCTGATGAGGAGGGGTTGATATTGATAATGTTGTCTAAAGACAATTCAGCTGGCTATAAATGAAAATTGCATGAGAAGCTCTTCCATCTCTGTACAAGACACACTGCAAAGGTTCTCCTGTGCCTCAGGAGGGCAGTGGCTCATTTGCAGAGCACCATTTTCTATCTTCACACAACAAAGCCGGTGACCACAGTAAGAAATATGTTTAATCCTGAAATTCTGGGTGATCAGGGGCTTGGCTATGACTGGATAGGCTGCGATCCCTGGCCGCCTAGAACTATGCAGCTATGATGAGAAACACACAGAGAATTGATTGAATGTTTCATTAAGAGAGAAATCCTGGTAAACAACAGAGTCAGGCCTATTCAGGCCTATTAAGATTTGACACATACTGCATCACCCTCACAATTCATACACAATTCTTTATCTTTTAATGGTAAGAATCCAAGCGTCGTAACAATATACAACAGAGAACACACACATGGGATTAATCTAAATATTTTAGAGCCTGTGTAGTACACACAGAAATAAAGAGGTTTGCATACCACAGCAATGCCTAAAAAATCTGTATGGGAGCAGTGTTGAGTCAGGAATCCCAAGAAAACACCCAGTTTTATAAGAGTTGTAAATGGCTTCCTGGAATGAAGTTACACAACCATTCTGAACACGCCACATCTAGCTATTGAGCATTAAAAGAACGACAATACCCCAGCAGTGCAAGAGGTCTCGGTTTATGTTGGCGGCAGTAGTATTTTTTACATTTTAGAGAGAGAAACTGCAAAAACATTCAATAACTTAGAAGCTGCACTAAAGTCACAAACGCCTCCGTGAGTCAGCCAGAAACTATTTAATGTTTATCTAATAAAACACAAATCCATCCAATCTGTAAACGTTTTGCACAATAGTGCCGAAAGTCCACTAGACCCCAGGAAACTCATGAGAACTCCCTTCAGGGCTTCATTGCAATCATACAGCCCCAAATTTATTTTTTAATAAAGAGAGATATGAGCTTCTAACAGCACTCAAGTTTCTACTGTGCTGGGGAGGGGGGGGGGAGTCTGTATTTTCTCCTCCGGCTTTTACATTTTTCCTTCTAGGCTGGAAATGTCTGAAACGTGACATTTGTTCTCCCTGGGCCAAAAACTGAAGCCAAACACATTCAACTTAGCACACCTACAAACGTTATCAAATGTACATTATAAAAACCTTCCAGAGCGACTGGCATCTCACTATTGTGCACATGCTAAAAGGAAGATTATAATCATAATGATCCTTGTGTTCCTTTGACAAAATCTTGCCAATATTTTTTTTTGATAAATCAAGGAGACAGTGTGCATTTACAAGAGCACAACATGCGTTACCAGGATGTTCCAAATTCAGGTAGGTAGCCGTGTTGGTCTGTCGCAGTTGAAATATATAAAAAAATAAATAAATTGTCCAGTAGCACCTTAGAGACCAACTAAGTGTGTTCTTGGTATAAGCTTTCGTGTGCATGCACACTTCTTCAGATTTTCCAAGTTATTTAATATTCCACAAATTTTAAGTTCTCTACGCAAGTACAAAGCAACATTTTATAGCACTAAGCTTAGGCTAGATGTTTGTACTGTTTTGATGCATTCACTTCATTTTCATCGTCAGCAGTCACCAAAGCCGAAAAAATTGTCATTAGAATAAAACAATAAAGGAGATGGAAAATTATCTGTAGCATCTCTTGAGTTGCAGTG